AAATCACCATCGTCACGCCTCTGGCGAGTTGCCTTATATCATAAAAACATCTATTTTCGTGTGTATCATATTAAAAGGATACAATTCACCCCGTAACAATAACCTATTACATGGATAGTTTATATTTTTATCAAGTTTTATCATGAGTATAGTCGGCATCACTAGTCAGGATTCAGATCCTGATTTAACAATACAGAATCAAGTTGATTGAATGGGCCTTGTTTTATCGTTATTCTGTATTATATAATTTATTATAAATTTTTATAACAAACTTATTTATAGTCAGTTTTTTCTCAAACATTTTCACTGTAAAGCATCAATTTAATTGGATGGGTCCGATCCTGACATATTGGTGGGCGCAGTTATGTTTTTGCTCAAACTAAGTCGAATGGGCTAAAATAATTTAAAAAATAAATATATATATTTAATTATATATATATATAATAAAAGAAAATAGGAGCAAAAGTTAAGTTTATATATTGTATTGCTCTTAATAAGTATCTAATCCATTAATAGGAATAGGACCGAATATTTTTCAATGCGGTCGACAATTCATCACTAATGGAATGAAATTTTGAGATTTTTCCATATTCCACAATTGTAAATATCCGGGTATTCAAGATCAACCTATATATAATCAACATAATATATGTATATATTTAAAAAAAAAACAATTGAATTTTTAATAATAATAAATTAAAAGTTGTAATAACACACTCCATCTAGCCCGAAATTTATGACATTGGTAATGAATGGAACACGATCATCTGTAGTTCCATTTGCGAATGCTTTATCACCTCTCGCATCATTATTGATATTAATATTTCCTGATAAAACAATCGCTAAAAATATCTATTAAAAAAAAAATAAAATAAGATAAAATATAGAAATGTAATAAAAATAACCTTTTCATTGTGATAATAATATTGAAAATGCCAATCACCTTAACTGAAATATTAATTTTAATTTTAAAGGCAACAGTAGGGCTTAAAAAATCATGAAACCCCGTTAGAGGTATATGTTTGAAGTATCACTTGGTATATAAATTAATGGAAACTCATATTA